GGTTTAGTTGCAGATATAAATCAACATCTTTTTAATTATTGTTTGCTTTTTTCTTTTTGTCTTTCAGGTAGAAGGTGGTTGGGGTGGTGAATGGGAAGGTTTTGAGTGAAAAGTCAGCAAACATGTTCACGTTGATTGCTTTGCAGCACGTAATTTTTAGATTTTTAAATACTTTTTACTACCCCTTTTTTCCTAGTATGTTGGATCTCTTTGCGACTTTTCTCCTAAAATACTGTTGAAAAAATATCTCTCAGTGTCGGATGCGTTGTGAAACACCGGGCAAAAGATGTAGAATTTAGATAGTGAATATTTGCGCTTATCTAAATTGAAGTACAACAAATGTCTCTGAGATCTGAAGAGACTGAGAGCTTTCAAGGTTGACTTAAAGAATATTTGAACTTTATCATTTGAAGTCCTTTTCTAAGAATTATTCTTTACAAATGAATGAGTTTTTAAGAAGCAGTACCTTATAATAGCAGCGCGCTGAGTTCCTTTTACATTTATTACTGAAAAAGGTGTTTAGCGAAATTAGTGTCTGTTCAGAGCTTTTTTTTTTACTTTGAAAAGATAATATGAACACTTTCAAGGGCTTTAATATTCATGACTAAACTGAGTAAATTTGGGGGTCTCAAATGTTTGGAGGCTTTTACAAGAAGAAATAGAAAATAACGATAAAGGACTAAAATTAAAAAATCTTAGCTGACGTTCATCGTGCTCAAGTTTGAGCACCGGAAACGCGGAAACCTTTTGGGCCCATTTATCCGCCCTGGCCCAAGGCTATACATATCCAGATTCAGTTTCGTTTGTCTTGAAACCTAAGCGGAGAAATTTAATCCAAAGCTGCAGTTCACCTGACAGTGGACTTCAAAATGGAGGTCGAACGCGCAACAACTCGAAGGTGGACGTATAGACTTCAAAACAGTCGGTTTTTCCCTCTAAAGGTCAAAATCGTTTTTTTTTTCAAGGCGGCTGCATGGCGAGCCTCACATGCCCTCCAGAGTCTCATACTTTGTTTTCATCTTCGCTCCAGGACTTTTCTTTGATCGCTCCCGCGTTCTTGACCTACGCAAAAGATAAGTTACTGGCTGTTTTGCAGTCTAATGGGTGCATCACGTTCTCGGTGCTCAGTGATTAAAGCGCCTGTTACGTTCTGATATTAGCTGTTTTCCGCGGGTTCCGGAAGCGGGTCTCCGCAATTTTCTTGAGAAACGCACGCTGAGTATTAAATATAAAACGAGTTGTATCAGGCATTGGCCAAGAAATCTGGAGGTGGTAATTGTTATAGTTAATTATACATCCATAAATCGACATTTGAAGTTAAAAGTCTGAAATTTTAACGTAATGTTAGCTTGTAAACAGGGTTCCTACGGCAAAATTTAGCGCGAAAACGTTCGGCGAGCGGAGCTGGATTACACTATTTTTAATTTATGGAATGATATTTTTGGAGAGGAAAGCTTTTAACGGATAAAGATGCCCGGCCACAAGCTACAGATATATCTTATTCTGACCTATTTTTAAATTAAACTTTTCGAAATAGAAATTCGTGGCTATATTTACTTCAAAATAACTTGGAATACAAAAATATTCGTATTAGAGTTTAGTAATTGAGAAAAATGTAATATTTTAAATTGAGGAATATATCTTGTATAACGAGAGATCTATATAAAATTTATTTCTATGTCGCAGGTTTGTTTCTTGTGTGTTTATTAATACAACAGCAATTTGTGAAGTCTTGTCGGCCGGGAAGGGGGTTGATCCCTGTGAGGGTTTTTTTTAATAAACCAAATGAATTCTTTTTTCGTCTTCTTTTTCTTCTTCTTTTTTCCTTATATCAGTTAGCTCTTCAGTTCAAAGTGCGAAGTTGTTTTTCAAATGTTTATTTTGCACTGAATATCAATATTTATAATGTCGTTGTTTTCAGATACATTTTAAGATTTTATCTAAGTTTTCCTTTCAAATTTAAAAAGACCAAGAAGTTCTTTCTTTTGTCAAAGAATAACTACATTTAAATGTGACATAATAGGAGCCTTTCGAAACGACGAAACCAGGGTTTCTTCAATTTCGAAAGGTCCAAAAAGTCAATAAAACAAATGTTTCCTTTTCTAGTCTGTTTTAAGTGCCAACGCAGCTGTCTTTTAAAGTTTCCCCGTCATTCAATTTTGACACCTCGTCCTTCAAGACTTTCTTTTTAATAGAAAGTAAATTAGCAGATCCTTTGTTTGTAACAAAAAACTTTGATCAGATTTTGGTGGGACAAAACAACCACTATATCTCTTGATGACGGGGGATCCCTCGGGCGGGGGATGTATTCTCTTGGCAGAATTCCCGAAAGTTCGTGGCAAAACTTACGTGTAAAATCTTTCGAGTGCATTTGCAAAGAGACAGAGAACAATGAGTGATTTAAAAAGATCAAAGTGAATTAGCATTTTCCATCAACTACCGAGTTTTGAGTACGATTATTATTTTTTCGACGAACGACCACCGTCCTTTTGTACCCAGGCGATGAAGCGTTCAACAGAGCAAAGCTTTGTGTGCGCTCTTATGTGATTGGTTCATTCATTAAAATACGGCGTTCTCATTGGTTAATCAAAATCACGGGGACGTGTAACCCATTCAACTGCCGCGGCGGTTTTTCGTTGCATGTGTCAACAGAGACTCGGAACGAATTTCAAATTTTGCAGCATCAGAAGCTAAATTTTAACTCTTTCAGAGTTCTATGATTATATTACAACGAAGCTAGTGTTATAACTCTGTGTGGGAATTTTTAACATCAGTATTCACTGCGAAATGTCAAAGCCGTAGTACATAAGTTGCTTTGTATCGCGTTGTTGGAACTCCAATCGCTAGCGCGTCACTCCTCGCGGTCTCGTCACCTTTGAACACTACGCTTCAAAAGAGCAAATTTTCGATTCATATCATGTTGGTGCGGGGAGCAAGTTTTGAAAGATGAGTCGGAGATCAAGTATAAGCAGCAGTGTAAGTACTAGCCTCAAATCTGGCGTTGAAGATGACCCGTTGATGCGAGATTGCTACGATCTTCGACGAAGGTTACTTCAGACAGAACAATCCCTTCAAAGTTTGAATCCACCTCATGCAACGAACAGGTAATATTTCTGAAACGTTGTACATCTTTAGAACAAAACTATGTATACAATTATGTAGTAGTTTATAATTTTAGTAAGATTACAATCGCTTTTGTTACATTTTTGTATTATTTCGGACGTCCTGCCAAGAGATCGGACGTAATTATTATGATTCAGTGGCGTTTTGATCGCGTAGTTCTGATTGTATACAGTAATCACATTATGGGAATTACTTTTGTGTTAAAATTAAATACTCATTAAAAATATAAACTGCCCGATCATTCAATCAAAGAAATTTCGCTTTTGAATTTCCTTTCGAAAGGAGCGGATTCAATATACTCCTCTTCAGAAAGTAGCCGTTCGAGTGCTGCCTTCGTGAACGACAGGATTGATTGATTTTCGAGAGCGTTAGACGTTTCTATGCGTAATCAGTACAAGGTAAACATTTCGCACTGTACGCGAAGTTTGCTTTAGGCTTACACAATCAATGCCGTTTTTTTCCAAAAAAAGTTAACAAAAGTTAGCTTAAATTCTACCATTTGCTGTGCGAAAATGTTCGAACTACACTAGTAGCATCTATTAAGAATTCTCAAAATGATGTTATTGTTTTTGTCGCGTTCCGACGTTCGTGTGTCGTAACTAAGGGCCTAAATGTATACGCGAAATTTTGTTAATGTTGATTTTTCTGCGGTTGATGTTAGTTTGCCGGTATATTTTAACTGATATTGATTGTTCTTATTTCCGCAATTATCTTGATTTATAAAAGAATTTCCCGTAATGTCGAGTTACAAGGTTATGGATTATCTTTGTAGACAGGCTACCTAAAACACAGGGTGGATTGTTTAGTTAACACGTTTAGACATTTGAACATACTTTAGCAATAATCGTAAAATGTTTGCATTTTCTGTGATGCGGCGTCTTGTTGAATAAAAACAATGTTTCAATAATTTTGTTTCCATTAAACTGAAGTACAAATTGAAAAGGGTATGATATTAATTTTCTGCTAGTTTCTCAGTTCCTACAATTTAAGATGGATATGGAAAACATTATCGTAGGACTTCTGTTTATAAAAGTTCACCCACTGAGCCAAAAGCTTTATTGCAGTGGAATCCTGCTTCATGACCACCTTGGCCTAGATCCGCACACATCTAGGGTTAGTTACCATGGCAACTCATATGTTCTGTTTGCAGTTAAATCGGGATTAGGACTAAGCTAAGTCTCAGAAACCCTCTTCAAATGGCAGAGAATTGGATCTTCCTGGCATGACTTTAATTAGGGCAAACCTCTCTCTTTTACCTGCTTAACACTTAACAACAGGGCTCAATCCTTTCTTTTCCTTCCCTCAAACTAATGTGGCCCCAATTCATCTTAGCCTATGAGCAGGCCCATCGAGGCATGATTTCGGGAAGGTGCAAGCTGGCAAGAATAAGTTAGCTTGCATGCGGGCTTTTGATTTTATGAGTTCCTTGCATTGACCAAAAAATGCAGCAATCTTGATTAAAAGGCTACATAACTATAACAAAAACCACGGACACTGGGTGCAAACAACATATTACATCCACACATCAAACATAGAGGGGGAAGCCAGTGTTCTCCTTAAATTTTAGTTCAGCAGGTAAGAGACCATTCCTTAATGGTGAGGCAAAACAAATATGCCAGAGGTGCACTTTCCTAGAAAGGAAGTGGGGTGAGGGACATGACCCTGATCACACTGGGAAATTTGCTTGATTTTGACTAAGCCAAAGTTATTTTTGTTGCTTAATTGTCTCACATTGTCTGATTGAGAGGTCATTTCCTGTGGTTTTTGTTTCTCACAGGTTTTAACAATCCACCTGCAACTTTTTGTCATTTTTGTTTACATTTGCCTTTTTTATTGGATACACGTCAAAAGAGACAAAATTTAAAAAATCAATGATCCACGTGCAGGCTCACTTTTGGCCTCAACCTATTCTTCTCATGCTGGCGGCTCCATCATCAAAATTTTACCCAAAATCGCACAAGTGAGCGTGCTCACATGTTCATAGATTCATCTTGCATCCTTCATTATTTAGGTGCACACCATAATATTGTGTTTTAATCTCGCGCACATCTTTGTTGTGATTTTTCCACTAACCTCAGAGTTTACTTTTATTTATGTTTTTGTTATTCATACTCCTTTCTGTTGCTCAGCACAGCTTTTCGTTGACCCTTCAGCAATTTGTTATTGCAATTTTTAATAAATGTATAGTATCAGAAACTCATAAGGGGTTGAAACGTGTAACTCTCATATGTTTTCTTTGTCCGATGCTCGTGATTATTCATTTTCGAAAGTACCATATTTGGAACGAGAAGAAGAGATAACTGACCAATCAAACTTCGTAAACAACGTGACGTAATTTTCCTTCAGGTTCCCGCGCCCGCTTAAAAAAATGGCCGACAAACGGGGGAAAGCTTTCAAAGCCGAGAAAGCTTTCAAAGGTTGAAACCAGGAATATTACCGAAACAATGAGCAGGATATTATTGCCTCACCACCCGGGCCAAACGTAACATTATGAAACCCATTGACGGCCTCGCAACTTCTTGAAGTTGTCACTTCAAAAAACGATGCCTCGTTGACCCTCTGCACGGTAAACTTATACTGCAAATTTAAAAGTCTAAAATAAACAGTGAAAAATATTTTCGAATAAAATTCATTAGCTGCGTATCGAAAGTGTCCAAAACCTGAACCTGACATCTTCGCAAAAAGTGATGCTTGTAATGAATGTGAGAAGCATTTTAAAAGTTTAAATTAACCTTATATGTTGTAGACACGATCGTGTTTTGAGCTAATTTTATGAATGAACAAACTCAAAACAATAGACAGAGAAGCCGTTTCTTGAAAATTTTTATTCAAAGTCCAAAAAGTTAATCATTTAAAGCAATTCGGAAAACACTATCTGGATCGTGGATCCGTTCACGCAAGTGAAATCGGCTATTAAAGCACATGGCAAGATTCAACACAAAATCCATCTCAAATCAGGGCACATTTTGTAATTTTTCTTTAGCGCCGAAGAGAAAAATTTATAAAACGTCTATGAAACATTTAAAAATACATAGATTCCCTTTCATAAACGTAATTGTCTTGGCCATAGAGTGCAAAATGTACCTGAAAATTCAGCAAAAACTTCACTGACTTGGTTGCATTTCAAAACAGACCACGGGCTCCGCCGTGAAGAAAACAAGGTTGAATTCCTCGAAGGACGATTTCTTGATGAAAAGCTTCCCTTTCTCCACAAAAAGAAAGCTGACCATTCTTTTGAACTTTCTCTTTCCATTTTTTGTCTTTTAACGGTGCATTTTTAACCTTGAAATGCAAAACTCTTGTCTTAAAACATCTGCACGGTGATCGCGCAGCAGCCATTTTGTTGAAAATGGATATCCGTCACTAAGATTTCCAAATATGGTCAAAACGAATATTCACGAGCATTGAACGGGAGTTACACGTTTCAACCCCTTATGGGTTTCTGATAGTATCTTAAAGTTTTATATCTTTTTTTATCTTTACTAAAGCAAGACAAGGCCAACTTTAAAGCACCCTTCCCATGGTACCAGAGCTGATGCATTTCGTCCAAGTGCTGAGGATTTAAGGTTAGTGCATAAGTAGAGCTGCCTAGAAAGTTTAAAGTAGAAGGAGAAGATTTTACGTAGGTGGCAGTAGAAATGACTGAATGGCACAGTGTGCCTTTCACATTATGCATCCACTGTGGTGGTAGTTATGAGAGCTCATGGTTTGTGTCCAAATGCTGCCAATTTAAGGTAAAATCACAAGCAGAGCTCTCCACAAAATTAAAAGTAGAAGCTGAAAACAATTTATGTAGTTGGCAGTAGATACGATCGAATGGCACAGAGTGCATGGGGTAGGGGTAGTTATGGGAAGGAAAGGGGTCATGATTCCCCCCCATTAGGGAGTCTGATGGCTTTCCTGGGGCTCTGAAAAGTGCATTCTAGGGGTGACTATTGGGAAAAATTTAACTATTGCAGTTGTATTGCAATAGGTCACACGGATATTGCGATAGTGGAGGTACTAATTGCAATAGTATTGTGATAGTTTTCAGCCTTTCCTTTTTTGTTTGCAATGATGCAAAATTGGCCGCCATGTTTGAAGTTTGAACGAACCTCAGTAATTCATGTAAACCCTCTCTAACATAGACTGAAAGCAGTTCAATAATCACGGTGCTAAAACATTTTAGATGTAGGTATCACATCTCAATTTTACTCTGAGCTTCTTGCAGTAGGACAGTTAATTGTTTTTAGTTTCTTGTTTATCATCATTGTGACCTTCAGAATCAAAGATGGGTAAGAATGGTATCTTTATCTGTCCAAAGAAGTTAAATAATTTAAATGTTAGAAACTTGTATAGAATTTATCGTTAGTTCACTACACTACTGCGATTGTTATTTGTTTCACTTTTACTATAGACAGGGCTTCTGATATTTCGCGCGGTCGCGGACCCGCGAAATCCCGCGAAATTCCCCAAAAAACACACGAAATACCGCGAAATCCGCCAGAATATTTCCAAATACATGGCGGCAAAACATATTTAATACTTATCTTGGCTCTTAGACCTGTTCTATTCACCCCAAACGTCCAAATTTATCTTGAAACTTCGTCACTGCAACGAATAAACGTCTCAAAACTACCAGGCGTCGTAGATGAACGTTGCGAAAAACTGGGCACTAACCATAATGTTAACAGCTTTAGGGTTCGCTCATTTCTCGAGCGAACTGTTGTTGAAAGAGCAAAAGATTATCCGTGTTAAAAAACGTTAAACAATGCTGGTCATATCGAGGCAAAATTGATCGATTTTAGCGAAATTTGCCAAAAAAATCCATCGAAATCGGCTGTTTTTTACTGATTGTTTCTTGGCGAAGTTTCCCCCCAAAATTTCCCATGAAATCGGCCAATTTTTCTAAGAATTTGCCCTGAAAATCCTTCGAAATTTGACTTTTTCCCGCTAAAATCCCGCAAAATCGGCCGATTTTTGAGCAAATTTTGACTTTTCTCCCACGAAATCAGCCGATTTTTGAGCGAATTTTGACTTTTTCCCCGCGAAATCGGCCGATTTTTCCGCGAATTTGCCCCTGAAAATCCTGCGAAATTTTGCTTTTTTTTCCGCGAAATATCAGAAGCCCTGTATAGATCCGTCACTATCTCGGCAGTAATATCACAGTTAATTGATAGTTCAATGTATTGTTATGGCCTTAGTGCATTCCAGTGTATGTTGAGCGACCGGAAAAAGAGTTTTATAGCCACAAGGATGTTGTTTTTGTTTGCCCACATTTAATTAATTACTTTTAAATCTGTTTCCTATGTTTGCATTTACTGAACAAAAGCATTAGAAATAGGATTTGGAAAAATTATTTTCCTGAGTAACTGGGGCTTTCATGATGACTAGATAGCACTTTAATTATTGCTGGTTGTACCGCTTCTGGAGAATGCTGCTCATGTTTGGCTTTATTTTGTCTGCTGTAGGGGAGAAGTGGAGAGTTAGGCACAGTTTATCTTCCATTTTTCCCTGCTCCTTTCTAATAAGCATAAAGGGCCCCCTTACCTTTTCCTTCAGAACCAAACTAAAAAGTGTTAGTGTGAGTTGATTATCAATCACTTAATTAATTTGCATTACACTCCATGAGCACTAACCAATTATGGAGTAATAATTTAATATAAAGTCATAAATATTATGTTAATGTCTAAAACAAAAAACTGTGGTCTATTTTATGTTGTGATTTTCTGCTTAATCTCAGTACTTCTAACTCTCACAACTCCACCCCTCATTATAGTGCCTTAAAAAAATACCTCAGTTGCCAATGGGAATTTAATGGAGGATTTACTCTATTTTTCTGACTTTTACAGTTTAAATGGCCATGGTCCAAGAAGGAGTTATTCATCATCCCCAGAAAGTGCAGCAGGTCAGGTGTTGACACTAGCTGACTTGAGTCCAGCGGGCTCAGAGCCAAACCTGCCTTCTAAGGGCCGCGTATTAAGTACTCCGCTTATCAGTTCTTCTCAGCCCCTTAGATCATCATATCCAGACCTCAGGAATGGATCCACACACTTGTCACCAAGGGACCAGGAGGTACACCGTCCTCATACTTATCATAGGTCACATTTATTTGCTTTGTTTATATTTCATTTGCAATAGATTTCCTGTCTGTGAATTAATGTGTATGTTAGTATGTGTAATCTAATGGTGACAAGTGAAATTAAGAGAATAATTTCACGCGCGTTTTGTCCAAATCCTGGAAATTAAATTAGGATTTGGACAAAACGCAAGTGAAATTATTCCCTAGTGTCACGAGTATACCATTTGATTGCCTATTAATATCGTGGGTGACGAATTAAGTTAACAATCCTGAATTTTTGACATATTTATCCCGGATCTTATCGATCGAGAACTCCACTCTCTCAAATGTTTTAAGACCATAAATTTGGCTTAAGTTCAGAATTTTCAGAATTTTTCGACAAAATACCTGTTTAATAGAATCCTTCTTGATGTGCTTTTTCGTGTGTTCAGGTTTTCTAAAGTGTCTTTTAGTGCCCTGACATCTTCATTCATGGCATTTTAATTTGTTGCCTTCTTGACACTGAGACATATGGTTGCCATGGCAATTTTGTAATATTTCATGTGTGAAATTACAAATTAATTCTGAAATTTCGCGCCAAAATTAAGGAGTAATTCGTCACCTACGATATTGCAGGTCAAATTTGATTTCGGGTTAAATTTTTTTAACCTAGGTTGACTCTCAATTTCCTTTGTCTTCTATGGCTACGAGACAATGGAAATAATGAGAATCAACCTTGGTTCAGGGCTTCTGATATTTCGATCGCGCGGTCGCGGACCCGCGAAATTCAGGTATTTCCGCGAAATTCCCCAAATACCGCGAAATCCGCCAGAAATATTTCCAAATACATGTCGGCAAAACATATTTAATACTTATCTTGGCTATTAGACAGGTTTTATTCACCCCAAATGTCCAAATTTAGCTTGAAGCTTCGTCACTGCAACGAGTAAACAACGTCCCAAAACTACCAGGCGTTTTTAGATGAACGTTGCGAAAAACTGGGCACTAACCATAATGTTTATAGCTTTTCTCGAGCGAACTGTTGTTGACAGAGCAAATGATTATCCCTGGCCATCCCTGTTAAAAAAAACGTTCACCAACGCTAGTCATATCGACGCCAAATTGATCGATTTTAGCGAAATTTGCCATAAAAAAACCCCAGCGAAATCGGCTGTTTTTTACTGATTGTTCCTTGGCGAAGTTTCCCCCCGAAATTTCCCATGAAATCGGCCGATTTTCCTAAGAATTTGCCCCTGAAAATCCTCAGAAAATTGACTTTTTTCCCGCTAAAATCCCGCGAAATGGGCTGATTTTTCTGCGAATTTTGACTTTTCTCCCGCGAAAATCGTCCGAAATCGGCCGATTGTTCCGTGAATTTTGACTTTTTCCCGCGAAATCGGCCGATTTTCCCGCGAATTTGCCCCTGAAAATCCCGCGAAATTTTGCTTTTTTTTCCGCGAAATATCAGAAGCCCTGTTGGTTAAATCAAAATTAACCTGAAATCAAATTTGACCTCTGACAAATATATGTTATTGGTCAAAATTAAATTCAGTTTACAATTTTTTAACCCAGGGTGATTCTCAATTCCCTTTGTCTAATAAGTATAATAATAATAATAATCAAATGTTTATCCAGGAAAACCCTACATTACAAAGTACTGTTATCAACGGGGTCCTGTTAATGGCTAAGAATTAAAAACTAAAAAACAAGAATTACTAATTAAAAATGATATATATATATAAATACAGTCGAACCTGTATACACCAGCCCTGTATTAAGTGGCTGGTTTTCAAAGTCCGGATTTTTCGCACATACAAATGCATATTAAATTGTTACCTGTCTTCCTGGGCGGCCACCCTGCACAAACCAATGTTCGACTTTCTTTGTTATTGTTGTTGTTAACTGGATATTTTGTTTATTTTAGCTGGATAGCCGGTCATTTGGAAGTGCTAGTGACTATGATCATGATGCAATGATTAAAAAACTTTCCAGGCAGCGTGAAGAAAATTCCCAGCTCGTCAATCAGAATCATAAGTTAATGACAGAACTGGAGAATCTTAGTTATGACCTACATCAAGCTAGAAACAAGGTTGGTAAAAAAAAAAATAGGCCTGGTGGATTCATGAAGTAAAAACAGTTATTAAGTATACCAGTACATTAATATTACATATGGTACGTTTATAAATTTAGAAAGGGTGTTTAGAATAAAGCCCCAAAACACAAAACAAGCAACTGCTATGAAACGGCAATTCTCCTTCCAGTTAACCTTCAGATCTATATATTTACTTAAGTGATTCAATGGAATATTTTACCAAGTGGAGTACTGCAGCTTTCTGTTTCAGAAATAAAATAATATCAGCTTCAAAAGTTTGAGCATGCACAGATTGCAAAATTTCAAGATGTCCCCTTGACTTTACCTTTCGCTTTCTCTCCTCTCCTCTTCTTTCACCCGCCTTGCCCAGTTTTGCATCCCTTTGCTGGGCTTCATTTCTATCATGGGAAAAGTTTTGGGAAATCGTTTAGGATTGTAGTGCCGATTTCCTCTTCATGTAAACATTGCAGACCTGGCAGAAGTACTTTGAGTGTCAATATAAACCCTTTCCAACAATACATCTCACCCTACATACCCCTAAAAGCCTTTGAACTCACTTCCCCAATCAAATCAGAGATCTGCTCCACAGGGTTGTCATTAAGAGCCGGGGGCCGGGGATTTTCCCCGGCTACTAAGAGAGTGGCCCCCAGCTACTTTTATTGGAAAATAGAAGAAAAATAGAACCACAAGAAATGCCTAGCCGTTTGATTCCCCACCTACTTGTTGTATTTACCCGGCAACTTGAAATCTTAGTGACAACCCTGTGCTCCAGCTTATGTCATGCTACATGTGCCTACGAAACTTAAGTGTATAACTATTTGAACCTTTGACCTGGAAGTGAGCAGAAGTATGGCTTTTTTTGTTAGTTTGATAAATTCATGCAATGTATTTTAACTATACATTTCTCTTGCCATAAACTAAGGTGAAGATTCTAAGTCAAGAGCTTGAAGTTGAGAGGAAAAGGTTGCCACCGTTGGAAGACAGAATAGTGAGTTTAGAGTCGAACTTAGCCTCACAAGAGGATGCTGTCAGGTAACTACAGTCAAACTTACATAAAGCAGTAAAAAAAAATTAAATATTAATAAAAATAATAATAAAGTAATAATAATAAAGCCGTCTCCCTTGACTGGGAGTGGCTACGCTGGGACCAGGTTCCACAGTTGGTGGGAAAGGGGAAAACAATCGTCGAGCAAAGTCAGAAAAGGGGTAGTCCAGGGAGGGGAACAGCAGCATCAAAGGCATGGCTCCAGGCTCTGCCGGTCTCTCTCTTCCCCAGTCTACTACTAAGCTCGCTGATTTTTTTAAGCCATTTTGCTCCATTTTTTTGCCCTTTTCCCAACAATGGAGCCTGGTCCGTGGCTAGGGAATGGCCAACTGACCACTTAATACGGGTTGATTGTTTAATACAGGTTTGACAAATCAAAGAAAAGAAAGAAAAATAAAAATGGTGACAAAGGGAAATATTCATAACACGACGAATTGACCTCAAAGTGTTTCTACCTTTTCTTGTGCCATAAGAAAGGGATTAAAGTCCACTGAATGTCATACACATTGTATCTATTCCACTTGTATGGCTACAACATGATAAAGTGATTGTAAAGGTAATAAAAAGTAACTCAATGGGACCACAGAAAAGGTGACTGCGAGGGGCTGATGAAGGGCAACTTAACTCAGGTCCGCTTAATACAGGTTTTACTGAAGAGATACTTTAATAGCATTACCAGACAACTAACTTGATCCTGCAAAAGCCCTCAGTTGGTGCACGCATGTAACTTATGGGTGTTACTGCTCTGAATTAACACACAAACCTCCTTGTTACTCAAGTGTCATATCATGTTTCTTGGCTTTGCAGATATGCAGAGCACAGTATGCGAGACTGCCAGGAAGAGCTTCAGTCCAAAACAGAAGAACTCAGAAGTGTACTGGAATCATCCACAATAGCTGAAAATGAGCTGAGAGAGGAAGCCAAGCTTAGAAAACGGTATTACTTACCAACTCTGACCAAAAAAAATTCTCAATGTCTTGATACTTTTGGGCCACAATATGCTCTGAAATGCCCTTCATATTAAAGAGTTCTTCATATTTCAGTGCAAAAGTGAGCAAGTTATGATATTTGAGCCTACAAACTGTACAATGCACTTCTTACAAACTGGCACTTCACACTGTCATTAGTGAAATTGACAGTTAGTGACTGTTAACCTGTGAAAGATGCCGTACATTATTTAATGAATTATGTTGATTGTTCAGGGCTTTTCATCTCGTTCTGGTTTGAGATCATTTTCTTATTCAGCTGCCAAACTATAATAATCTCAACGTTTCAATCAAAAGCTCTCATTCTATTAATAATTTTGTGAAGAAGAATTGGAGTAAATCATTTTCTAATTAGATTACATTAGAAGTATAATTAGTTTGAGACATTGTAATTTATTTTACATACAATATACATGTATATAGTTATATTGTTTTAGTATAAAACAGTAAATCAGTGCTCAACTGTTTGAATCTGTGTTAAATAAAGTTTCTATTCTATTCTAAAGGCTCCTCTCACTTAGTTCTTTTTAGAAGAAACTTTATTTAACACAAAGTTTAGTCGAAATTCTCTTAAGGGAACACCCTCAGGTTGGGACGACAGGGTGATCGTTAAATGAAGGTTTGGCACGTGCACCCATAGTGGTATTAAATATCAATGATATGTGTCTCATCGGTGGCCTTTTTTTGAATAGAGCGGAAGATCATCTTGAAGAATCGTTAAGAAATGTTGAAGAGCTATCAGACAAACTTGCTGAACTGGAGACAACAATCAAATCGCTTAGAAAACAGGTGTGTTAAATCATTATGACTGTATCTTCATGCATCTACTCTTTTTCTGCAAAAAATTGTGCTTGAAAACAAAATAATTAAATGTCATGACCAGTTTTTGATCCGACTAAGATTATTTGTTTAATATATTTCTTCGCAAGCATTTTACAATACAATACAATACAGTAGTTTATTGACACTCCCCTGGTGGGGCTTTTCAGTGACAATGCGAATTGTTTGAGCGAGCTCTTTGCTTATATTGGACTTAATAAATGTGTGTAAACAATTAATACGTTTCAGTGGTTGATCGATTGACTGACTGACTGATTGATTTTTCATCAAAGAATTCTGACCGTGAAAAACACTGGAAAGAAACTCATTCCCAATCTCAACGTGAGAGAGAAGAGCTGTTAGAGAGAGAGTCCATGTTACAAGCACAGATATCTGACCTTCAAGAAGAGATAAGGTTAGCAAATACTTTTGTTACAATAATTACTTAAGCGATTGTTCATTCATAGTCTGAATTTTCAGTAGCCGCCAGTAGGCGTTCCATTGGGGGCCAGCGCTGAATGGTAAGTCTGTTGATCGTTTGGCAGTAAGTCTGGATTTGTAAAACGTCTTGGTAGGCCTCACTGATCATCCTTTCTGTGTCTCTAGTTTCAACTCGATATTTCTTTTTAGGCTACGAAATTATAGTCGTACCGTTGTTTTAGTTTTTATAACTTACGTTGTAAGCCCAAGAAGACTAGCAAAATTGTGGTACTGATTCAATAAGAAATGTTTTGACGTGGAAACATGGAAGACCAAAAGGCAACTTCTATTTTGTCATATAAAAACGAAGCTTAATTTGTGTTTATCGCGAAGTACTGTGAAGCGATGCTGAATAAAGTCAAGGCAAACGCGATTTCTCTTCAAAATGCACTTTGAGTGACTGAGTCTTCAAGAAAAAAAAATACAGACAAAGCCCGCTTCACGGACACCTCATTAGTACGGGGATTTTGCTTTGTCCCTGGGGAAAGAAAGCCCTTACTTTTTATCTAAATTCAACCGGCCCCCTTATAGTGTCCTCATTAACGGGCTTTGAGTGTAATCAGAATGAGTTTCTGCTTTATTTCAATCACTGCAGACTCCTCCAGGCGGAGAGCAGCGCTAAAGAAGACAGCCAAACATCCATGCATCACGAGAACACCAGCTTACGGGCCACTATCTCACGTCAGAGTCAGAAAATTGGTAGAATTGAGAACGAGCTGAGGAAAAACGAGTTGTTGTTGAAAGATCAAGGAGACTTGCAAAGTACTGTGGAGAAGCAGAGAGAAAAAATCGTACAATATCAACGGGAAATTGAGGAAACCAAGTTGCATATGGCGCGACTAGAAGAACTTGTGCATCAGGTTCAGGAACAGAGTATGAAGGAGCACGTGACAGCCACGCCTTCGGTTAGTATGATCGAATACCCAGGAATTTCTGAGACGTTAGTCTCTCCGTTTATTACGTGAGTGATCACTTGCATGTCGTTCACAATTTCACAGTTTTTCTCGTTCGGAGGTTGCGGTGGGAAGGCACTGTGTCGAATTGCCCTATGGGATGGGATCACCGCAGTCAAACGAGACAAATTTGCAAAACTAAGCAAAGTACTTGAAAGCTGAGATTGTATCCTTCACTGTCTAAAGTTAATTACCAATAAGCTGTTAGTTTAATAAACGGTTAGAAATTAACGAGAAAAATTTTGTTTGAAAACTAAATTTGATGTTACAGTCAGCGCCATTTGTCAACGGTTTTCTTGCGTTTGCGCAACCGTTTTCAATGAAAAGTAGCTCATTATTTTAAGGAAGACAGTTACATGAGCCTATTATAAATACACCTTTACCTATGTTCCACTTCCTGATAGATGAAATCGTATGAAATAAAATAAAAAAATAAACGCTGCAGACGCTTGACTGCGCTGGACCCTATAGGACAGACAGATTGCCAAAGGAAAAAGCGATAGTGCGTGGAGGGGGGGAGGGGGAGGGGTTGCGGTCTCCCCAAACAGTTCCATGCTGACCACACACGTGCGTTGTCTCGAAATGACCAATAGCGTGATGATTAATTTTCAGACAAGTGACAGCGGTATCTGTAGTAGTACCCAGACCATGAACGGCTACTACAACATTAGTCCGCGTAATATGGGCAACAGCTATATAGAGGATGAACACGACCGTGATCACGTGACGGGCAGCGGAGGGTCGGCGCGGGCGGTGATCGCAGATCTTAAGCTTAAACTGGCCGTGAAAGAAGCTGAGATACAGAAACTACAGGCCACCGCTGTAGCAAGGGCAGCAGCGCAGCAAAAACACATTGCAGGTATGCTTGGATATTACTATGAACCTTTTCCCGCGGGAAAAAAGAAAACTACGTTTGTGTCTGCTTCATTTTGAGTTCGAAATGAACATGGCACTTACCATGAAATGTGAACGCGAAGCACGGCGTTAAAAGGCAATTTCCAGCGGTATTTCTCTTATTATACCTAAATAATCCTTGTCTGTCCTTTCCTTATCTTAATATTCAATGTTCTCGCGCGACAGGCTCACCTGGTATTTTCCGACAGTATTATAGCAGCCAGTCATGCGTTTTACCGAACCCACCAAAGCGTGAAATATATTTCCGAAAGATTTAGGTGGTAGGGAATTCTCATGAAATAGCACCTGTGCGGCTGAGACAGCAACCGCCAAATATAGTAATCGTTGGACCTGCGAATCTTTGGATAAGATAAGCTTTTTGAAATCAATGTTGCCGGTATATGAGATTTGCTAAGCTTTCAAACATGCTAGAGATTTTTTCACGGAGGTAAACCGCTCTCATTGCGGCGGTATCTGAGTCTTATAAAAGGTAATTTTCTCCTTACCTTGACAAAGCAGGCAAAGGAATTGAGTGTACTTAGTTTTATTCGTTCCATTTTTCCTTAGAACGAACTCATGTTAATGTCAATGAACGATCGTCTTTCTGTACTGTCTAAACCCTCTTTTGCAAAACCAGGAAACTAGTTTTAGGCCTACAAAATGGAAATTGTCTTGTGTTTGAAAGGTGTTTTTTTTCTCTTAGGTTTAGCCGGTGATGGCGGTGTTATGGATGGTTTAAGAACGGAGCTGTCCGCTATTGTCGAGCGAAGTCGAATTGGTGATCGTAAACAACAGGAACTAGAGCAGATTATAACACGACTGGAGGATGAAGTATCGCGCTACTCAACACAGACCATACAACTAGAAGAACGGCTGGCGGACAAGATGGCGCAAATTGCGTCCCTGGAAACCAAGCTCGGGCAAAGAAATCTTAAGGTGGTTGATTTACAGAACGAACTGGAGGAAAAGATTACTGAAAATAACGTACTACAGCGAGAGGTGAGAAAAAAATCCATTAGACAGGCCATGGTCAGGAACGATCTTTTCATCGACGTTTCTGTAAATGTTATTACGAGGCCTGCAGACAATTCCGGAACTCATAAGTGGATAGATCATAGTAATGGTATCAAATAAGTTCCAAAACTTTTGGCAAGCGAGTTATGATCGTTTACTTGACATAGCGGGTCGTTGTACACAAACCATGACCTGTTAATATCAACCGTTTTATAATTTATTTATTTAAATTTTCGGGGTTATCAGTAGTAGCCGGCACCCGGCAATTGATCGCCGCCTACTTTGAAATCTCTAGCCGTTTACTTTGCATTCCATTTGTGCTGATTTGGTTTACGGTTTTTTAAAACTTTAAGTACTTATCACTTAAAGTAAGAGCTTGAATTGATTAACTACATCCTGTCAGACTAACAAGGTAAGATACAATTGTCTGTAAGTCACTTCTTCGAGGTGGCTCAGAATCGTCGGTTTTTGGAACTGAGAATAAGAGGAACGCTTAAACAGCATAACTATTTTCTTTAATTGTAGAAAACCTTTTCCTCGTGTGTTGTTTTGTATTCAAAATATTTAAAACGATTACCTCCCTTTTTTGGGGCTGGATCCTTCTGACGAATGCCTAGCGCTCGAAAGATCAGGTTTTCAATCTTTTTAAGGTTATGCTTTAAACCTTCTTCATCAACTCAGTTGACAAGGAAAAATTTTGTATTTCCTCTTTCTAAGGTCCGTCAAGCCACGTCACATTTAAGTAGCGTAGAGAAACAGCTAAATGAGAAGACGTCACTGTCAGGATTACACTCAGCAAAATTACAAGAAGTTCAAGACGAAATGGAAACCAGAAGCCGGAGAATCCGAGAACTAGAGGGTTCACTGGAAGCTAAAGATATTGAACTTAAGGAATCTGCTTCACTCGTGGACAGAGTAAAGGCCTTGCACAGTGAGCAATGCCATGAATTGCAGCGACAGATAGAAGAGGTAGGCAACTGACGCTACCAAACTTGGAATCAATTTAGGATTCTAGGAAACTGCGCACTTACCCCTCCCGAAAGCTAACATTTTGCCCTAGATATTAAAGAAGTACGTGTTAATTTTGTTTTAAGGGAGGGGTAGGTGGCAGTTTCCCAGAAACCTAAATTGATCGTAAACTTGTTTCTGATATCATTTGAGGCCTTTGGATTCTAAGACGAGGACGACCATGAGAACAAGATTTTCTCAGCACTAAGCAGTGCTCGCGCGTGAACCAGCGTCATTTTGGCGGGAAAACGTGATAGCCGTGGTCATTCTACCGTTCTAGCGGGAATATGTCGTAGTGGCGGAAACAAGTTATCAAAACCATTTCGCGATCGGAGAAGGCTTTTAAATTTCCTTCAGTAAAAATAACCGTGTTAAAATGAAGCTTTCCGGCGTGTCTTTTTCTTTAGAACACTCGAATAAATGTCACTGAAAATCTTGTCCTCGTCCTTCAAATCTAAAGGTCTCTGTATTGAGCGCTAGGAGCCGTTCTTTGTCAGGTCTCTTCTCTGTGACCGATCCTTCATGGTTAAACCTATCAGGGACTTGCGTCCCAGCTGGCATAGCTCTCAGTATCATTAAGACACGGAGGCTCCTGAGTCCACCATCATAACCAGGTTACATTGTCCTCTGCCAGTGCCCATATATTGGTATAGCTCAAGGGGTCTTGAACCATTGGGACCGTCAAAGTTTGTTTTTCCTTTACAAGCTCCGTTAATGATACCAAATACTCATTACCTCACCAACACAGCACCAGAGTGGCTTTTGACACCACCCTATATCCATTTAATCTGTTTTACAACTTTGCCAAGTATGGGGCCAACTGATGGTACTAAACATTTTTTTTTTTTTTTCAGTTACAGAGATCTTTTGAAGAGAAAAACGCGGTCATTTCTCAGCTTGAAACATCTCTGGCAGCTTCGCGGCAGGAGTTGAATCTAAAGAAATCAATCGCTGACCAAATGGAACGCGCCCTGCAAGAGCAGAAACAAGAAATCGAATCACGTGATTCGCAGTCAGTTCAGCACGGTAAGAAACTGGAAAAACTGGAAGAACAGGCTGACAAAGCCACGCAGCAGGTTAGAAAGATGGAGGTATCATTAGCGGAGTGCCACAAGGAGATTGAGATGTACGTGGAACAACTGAAGCAAGTGCGTAGTGCGCATGAGCAGGAACTGGAAGAAAAACGACTGGGGGTGAGTTGTAAGGTCTTAAGTGGATACGCTGCCTAGCATATCGGGTTCAACATATTAATAATCAGTTTATTAAACCCTTTTG